CATATAATTATTCTGAACAGGATCAATGCAGCACAGTTAATCAGTTTACCAACTGAATTAATTTTTATTTTTTTCATGTCTGCATCTCCTGTGGAGAATGGAGAAATTCAAGATTTAAGGAAAAAAATTGGTTGCATTTGTGAAATGATATTTATATCTGAGCATTCATTATGAAAGAAACCTCTACTGCAGGCTGTTTTGGCAGACAAACATTACTTTCAATCAGCAGGACTTTGAATAACTGACTCCATGTGAAGTTATTGCTAAAGGTACACTTAAGAAATAGCTGATTTCCTATTTTAATTTCCAGCTGTTTAATAACATCCCATTCTCCTCAGAGCCTCAACTATTTGTGTTTTTGTTTTATGAAAACAGTGGATTGTTGTGTAGAAGCTTCAATTTATTTGTACAATATGCCAATTAGATTCAAAAACATTTTAAAGAAACTAATGCAAACTACTTAATTCAGGAAGCACAGTAAGCATCAGAGCTGTTATTTTAAAATCTAGGTAATAAAACCCTTTTGTATTTTATTTAAAAATTTAAAATTAAGCAGCCTGAATTTTATAGTTGTAAGTGCAATAGAGATTCAGAAGTATAACTTGGAGACACCAAAACTGTTTTCTGTACAGGGCTAGTGTCAGTCTTTCATTGTGACATGTTTCAGAGTGGTAGCCGTGTTTGTCTGTATCAGCAAAAACAACAAGGAGTCCTTGTGGCACCTTAGAGACTAACAAATTTATTTGGGCATAAGCTTTCGTGGGCTAGAACCCACTAGCCCACAAAAGCTTATGCCCAAATAAATTTGTTAGTCTCTAAGGTGCCATAAGGACTCCCCATAGTCTTTCATTGTGCTATTTACATACATCTGAAAATGGGTAATTTTTCAGTTTAGAACTGCACTTTTGATAAAATGTGGACTTAACTGCAAAGCTTCATTGGATTGTACAGTAAATAGAGATGCTGATGGTTAATAGGTTAAAATGCATTAGAAGCCTCCAGGTAGTAGCATTACATTAAGGTACACTTTGCCACCGAGTACTCATTTTAATATGCTCAGTTTTCACATAGCTAAACAGAAGAAAAATACATGAGAACAATTATGAAAGCAAGTTGTTTAACATATTTTACATTCTACAATACTTGCGGAAAATATTTTACCCAACATTGGAACCAAGGAATTTAAATAAAATGAGGTAAAGATCACCCTCTTATATTAATGTTTTCAGTCCACAGAGATATATTATTCCAATGGAAGTATTTGCCTGTGGTAAGAAAAGGATACACATCAGGATAAATAAAGCATCAATGATTTGTGTGAGAAAAAATAAAGTGAAATACATTTGAAATATGGAAATAATTTAATCAAGAGAAGTAGAAAAAACTCACTACAAATACCAAAAAATATTTTTTTCAAAATCACACATACCAATCCTTCTTTGAAAACACCTCTTTTTCTTTAAAGCCACTACTTCTACAATCTATTTGTTAATTCTCTCAGAATATTTTTGTGTATCCTAAAGACAAATTCAATAATACAAAACTATCCAGAGTCCTCATTGCCAGATCCAGAACAAGCTTCAAAAATCAGTTTCTCAAATCTTTCACAGCCTTCCCTGGGTGTCCACAATGTGAAATCAAGACAGTCTGTTATTGAATCTGTTCCTAAGGAAGAATCCATATATAAATACAAGATGCCACCTTATTATAATGCTGTTCCTGAGAGGCCATTAATTTATACATTGTAGCAAGTAATGCCTCTTAAAGGGAAGGAACAGAAGGATTGTCCTTGGGTTGGAATTCAGGGTATGGCTACCTCTTACAACAATATGACAGAGTGAGATGCACTGTGGGTATTCAAGTGTCTCAAAATATTAACATCAATTTTGTGGCTTTCTTTCATGACCTCTTACATTACTCTGATGTTGCTGATAGCACAAATTAGTTTGCAAAATTTATTAGCTGATTTAAAAAAAAGTTATAAGACACAAGTTAAAAAATGCCTCTTACTGTGGTCACCTTACTGTGAAATGTGTTGTGACTAACAACCTTTAATATTTAACACTGTTGTATTCAGTGTTGTTGTAGCCATGTTGGTCCCAGGATATTAGTGAGATAAGGTGGGTGAGGTAATATCTTCTATTGGACCAACTTCTGTTAGTGAGCGAGACAAGCTTTTGAGGTTACACAGACCCCAGACCTCAAGAAGAGCTCTGTGTAAGCTCAAAAGCTTGAATTTCTCACCCACCTTGTCTCTTTAATATTTAAATTAATTGAGAATGTATTTTAAAGGGCACGTGGGGTACATTTTTACAGGGTCTGATTACGGAACACTGTTAAAATGCTACAGTTGTAATGTGTTGCTTTCTGTAGTTGAGGTTAAATTCTACCTTCAGAACACAGTGATTTTGCTGCAAATGTCACGGAGAGATGGTGTTATAATAGGAGTAGTTATGATGTGGTTTCATGGAACTGGGAGCCAGGCTGCACTGTCCTTTTGTCCAGGAGATGTACAATATCAGTCTGGGGTACTAGTAATAGTTAAATTCCACATCTCGGTCCTTGTTACAAATTCTAATTTCTGGTCCTTTTTAAATAAATATATTTAAGCAAGAGGTGCAGAATATGTAACAATGTAAGTAGCTAAGTTGTCTTGTCAGGTTTTGTCATGTGAGCATTTTCTGAGGTAAATCCTTCAGTTTGGGTGATTCATATGGATAAGTTACGTATCACTTGAACGCCACTAGCAGTCTGCAGCTTCATCCTGACTAATGTATTAAAATCTATTTAGCAGAATAACTATAGCTAGTGAAACTGCTACACAGCATACAAAGAAGCTACAATGCAACAGTGACAATGATGAACTCAATTGTAGTGAAGTTAGGGATTTCCAGATGATTTTGAACTAATTGTTACCATATTACATTGTCAGCTATGATATTCTATTTGTTAGAACCTTTTTCTTTGACTACATAAGGCATTCAATAATATTTGAAGCACATATTTGCACAGGGAAAATATTAAGGTAAAATATGGTAGTGTAATATTTGTTTGGAAATAATATACACGTAGCTTGCATTGTCTTCATGCACACAGCACTCATATTACTAAATAAAATCCCTCAGTTCTATACACATTTCAGTCATTGGTGCACTATTCTTATTTATATTTGAATTCACAAAACCAGGCAAACATTACATGAGGATATCCCAGTGTTTCTTATGTGATATGTGACATGCAGTCTATATATAAAAATACTGGCAGACATAGCAGGTTTTAAAATATATAAAATGTCCCCCATCAAACAGGCAATTTAATATTGGGAGACTACATGGTGAACATCTGAAAAACACATTAAAAAAATCTCCTGTTTGTATGCACTAAAACTATTTGCTCATTGTGGTAAAAGTTGCTGATGCTACTATCATAGTCTGTTACTCAAGATGTAGTCAGATTATATCAAAAGCATGAAGAGGTAACAGGGAATATTCTGAAATGCAGCAACAAGTATTATTTAAATATTACCAGTTGTATTACATTACAGTCTAACTCATAATTTTAGATACCATAACATTCTCTGTGACTTTTTAACCATTTAAATACCGGCAAAGATCTATATAATCAGGTTCTTCCTCTCACCAGCAGCAGCGTATGATTTTAATTAATGTAATTGGGCATGGCTATCAATCATATATCAGGTGATTTCAAGATTCATCCTTGCTGACTGATTTAGGATAATTAGCCTCTCAACTAGCCTGAGCTGAAGACACCTGAGAAACAAACGACATGCATTTCCACAGATGCCATCTGCCTTATGATACTGTATGGCTGTAGAGAGAGTAGGGTGTTTACAACTGTAAGATAAGTGACGAGCACTTAGCCCAGTTTCAGTTAAGTGTGAAGATATATTTCAGCATCATTAAATCAAAGCCAGTCACAGATTCATTATGAATGTGAAGGCTTTAAAGAAAACTATAGCCATCCAGTTTAACCCTATAGTGTATTTAAAATCCCATTACAGAAAACATATATTCACAAATACCTTAACCATAAAAATTGCACCTATTTCCTGTACATAATGGGAGAGCATTTTATAGCTGAAATTAGTTGGTCTGTGAGACCAACACCTCATTAGAAACTGTACAACTATGGTAATGTGTGTGCTATGTAAATACATTTTTTCCTAATCAGGAGAAATTTAAAACACTTATCATGAACAATTCTTCACTCTTCCATCCAAATCAATCTGTTTTCAAAACAGCAGAGCACCACAAAAGAAAACATTTCACATCTTATTTCTGTGTTTATGAAACTACAAATGTGCAGGGAAATCATAATCCCTGTCAAGTTATCTTGCTGGGGAAACTCTTCTAAACTGTGCACAGAGAAGCAGCCCTTCTCATTTCCTCTTGCTCTCTCCATATATGGCAAAGACTGCACTGTCCACGGTACTAGTGATTGTCAGAGAAGCATATGCATTATACAAAACATAGAGATACTAACAAGAGTAGCCGGGAAGCCTGCACAAATCAGGATATAATAAAAGAATCAGAATTCCATAGTTCGGTCACTGGTACCTTGCTTTCTCTGTGTATCACCCTAAAAACTACACACGAGTGCTGCATACATGCACAACCACTGCATGAAGTCACCTGATATGAGCAAAACAAAGCTAATCAGGAAAAATTTAAAGATAACCAAACATAATATCATTACACTGCAATGCATAATGGAGTCTTAAGGCACAAACACTATAGTTATGGTTGCATTTATCCACAAATGCATTAGATCACTACTCAGTTCTCAGCAGAGATTCCAACAGCATGTTTTGCAGCTCATACCAGGTCTGTGTTCAGTCATAGCTCTGAGAACTGTTGTATCAAACAGCATATGGATTTTTAGAACTAAACTAACTCTTGACAAAATAAAAAATACAGAAGAAGAAATGTAAATTTCACAGAGTCAAAGCACAGATAATACATGGTAATAAATGATCGTACCTTTCATCCAATCCACTACTTGCTTGGGGGTCCACTTGCTAATAGGTTCCATAACGAGAGCCATCATCAGATCACTATCATTCACACCAAAATCAGAAAAAGACTGGGGAAATCTATCAGAGCATGGCCGGGATGAGAGAGCTGTAGGATTTTACAGTGCAGTCCAAAGACGAGATGATGCTTTGTCCCTCCAGGTTTCTCCTGCACTGATTCAGTAATGTATAAAATTACACTGCTTGATCAGCTCTAGCACCTCCCCCACTGCACACAGCCTGCAACACAGTGGAGCACACTGAATCAGGAAATGGTGCAGTATGTATATACTTACTTACAAAAACCTATACCCAATGATCTACTTATTAGACTGATATAAAATTATAGTGTTCTGAGAGCAATCGAGGCTCATGTTATTCCAGACTCACAGCTTTATGGAGCTTGATTCCAATCAGCTCTGGGATCTTCATAAGGGAAAATATCTCTACTGTAACTTGATAACAGATTGTCTTGGCTTTATTGTAAATATGCTGACTGTTGTTCAAATTAAAGAGAAGATAGAAATATCGTAATATCACTTGGCATCTGGCAAAATACTGAGCATCTCCATCTTTACAATAAAAATGTTGCTAGAATCTTATAATATATAATCATGTAATTCAGAATGTCAAACACAGTAGAGGGAGTCTTACCAAGGTAAAACTCACTATCTAAAGAAACATCTTTTTTCTGGCCACATTCAGGGCCAGTACCCTTCCCCCTCTGAGTCTCTCCTTTCTATAGTGAAGGAATGCCAGCCTACCATGTTAAGGTCCATTCTTTTCTTTTCTTTTTTAACCATAATCCATTAATTCTAATAAAAACAGCCAAGAGGTAGCACTGGAACTATCAGTTAATTCATTTACCTTTTATTGGAGAGAGGAATAATGGTAAAGTTTTGATACCTTTTAAAAAGGATAAAGGTAAGAGGTCTCAATCATGGATTCACCTCACTCAGATGTGCCAAATGGTGCTTCTCAGGCCCTTTGTATCTGTAGAAGGGCAGTCACCCTGCTCCGTTGTGGAAGGGATTAAAAACAGCCCTGGGAATGGGCTGCTTAGGGGAGCCAATCAGGAGTGGCCTTCAGGCAGCCAATCAGGGCTGCGGCTGGGAGTATAAGAAGGCCTAAGGGAGGAGCTGGGTCAGAGTCTCTCTCCAACCTTAGCCCTGGTCTACACTATGTGGTTAGGTCAAATTTAGCCACGTTAGGTTGATTTTAAAATGAATGCATCTACCCAACAAACCCTGTTCTGTTGACCTAAAGGGCTCTTAAAATCAACTTCTGTACTCCTCCCTGGTGAGGGGAGTAGAGCTAAAATCAACCTTGCTGGTATTGGTCTCCGGGAGCTATCCCAGAGTGCTCCAATGTGACCACTCTGGGCAGCACTTTCAACTCCGATGTACTAGCCAGGTACACAGGAAAAGCCCCGGGAAATTTTGAATTTCATTTCCTGTTTGGTCAGCGTGGCGAGCTCAGCAGCACGGGTGACCTGCAGACCACCCAGAATCGCAGACAAGCTCCAGCATGGACCAAAAGGGAGACACTGGATCTAATTGCTGTATGAGGAGAAGAATCTGTGCAGGCCGAACTCCGATCAAAAAGAAGGAATGCTAATATATATGCCAAAATCACACAGGGCATGGTGGAGAGAGGCTACACCAGGGACACACAGCAGTGCTGCATGAAAGTCAAGGACTCAGGCAAGCCTACCAAAAGACAAAGGAGGCAAATGGTCGCTCCGGGTCAGAGCCCCATACATGCTGCTTCTATGATCAGCTGCATGGCATTCTAGGGGAGGACCCTATCGCTACCTCACCACTGTCCATGGACACCTGCAAGGGGGGAGTCTCATGCAACAGGGAGGAGGATTTTGTGGAGGAGGAGGAGGTGAATGCGTAGCAGGCAAGTGGTGAATCCATTCTCCCCAGCAGCCAGACCTCTTCATCACCCTGGAGCCAATACCCTCCCAAGGCAGGATCCCCAACCCTGAAGCCGGAGAAGGCAGCTCTGGTGAGTGCACATTTGTAACTACGGTGAAGGGTTTAAAAGCAATAGTGTTTAATGTTTGATTTGCCCTGAAGAATTGGGATACATTTGCGGCCAATACAGCTACTGGAGAAGTCTGTTAACATGTCTGGGGATGGAGCGGGAATCCTCCAGGGACATCTCCATGAAGCTCTCCTGGCGGTACTCTGAAAGCCTTTGCAGAAGGTTTCTGGGGAGGGCTGCCTTATTTCATCCTCCATGGTAGGACACTTTACCACGCTAAGCCAGTAGCAAGTAGTCTGAAATCATTGCAGCGTAAAGCATGGCAGCGAATGGTCATGGGTTTTCGTCGCATTCAAGCAACATTCGGTCTTTATCTTTCTGTGTTAGCTCAGGAGAGTGATATCATTCATGGTCATCTGATTGAAATTGGGAAATTTTTGTAAGGGAACAGTAAAAGGACCCCATTCATGCTGCGTTGTTTGCGCTTGGTTAAAAGAGATCATCCCGGATAATAGCCACGCAGCGGTGGAAGGGGTGAAGGGACCATCCCAGAGAATAGCCACATGGTGGGGGGAGGGGTGAAGGAATCATCCCAGAGAATAGCCATGCAGTGGGGTGGGGGGAGGTGTGTGCTGCACATCCACCTGAAAACTGCAGCCCCTCCTTTTAAATGTGAAACCCAACCAGCATTGCTTGCTATGGGAAAGAATGGCGCTGCAGTTTGAAACCATTCTCACATGTTATGAAGGCATAAGAAGCCAACCACGCATACCAAAAGGCTTACTATGGCTGCCTGGAAACTGAATTCTGTTGCCCAGCCATTTGTGATGTGTCACCATACCGGCAGGCGCTCAGTATAAAAGGCAAAATGTGACCTTGTACCTAAAGCACATGTGCTGTTTGCTGTGAATTGCTTGATTCACTGTGAAAAAGTCTCCCTTTTGTTCTCAGAAATGTATCATCTTAAATTTTACTCTCCCTTTTTATCTCCCCACAGGTGCAAATGTTTCTATGCTCCCCCTATCATCTCCGTCCCTGAAGTTATCGCACATTAGAAGCCGAAAAAACTGCACTCGCAATGACATGTTTTCCAAGCTCATGTAGTCCTCCCGCACTGATAGGGCACAGCTTAATGCATGGAGGCATTCAGTGGCAGAGGCCAGGAAAACGTTAAGTGAGCGCGAAGAGCAGAGGCAGAAGGCAATGCTGAGGCTAATGGGGGAGCAAACGGACATGATGAAGCATCTGTTGGAGCTGTAGGTAAGCCAACAAGAGCACAGACCCCCCCACTGCATCCATTGTATAACTGCCTGCCCTCCTCCCCAAGTTCCATATCCTCCTCACCCAGACACCTAAGAATGCGGGAGGGGGAGGCTCCGGGAACTCAGCCACTCCACTCCAGAGGATGGCCCAAGAAACAGAAGGCTGTGATTCAAACAGTTTTGATTTGTAGTGTGGCTACAATAAACAATGTGGCCTTGTCCTTCCCTCCTCCTGCACCCCACCCCACCCGGGCTACCTTGTCAGTTATCTCACTTTTAAAAAAAATTTTAAAGAAAGAATGCATGGTTTCAAAACAATAGTTACTTTATTTCCTTTGCCACCTGTGATCGAAGGGGGGAGGGTGGTTGGCTTACAGGGAATTAAAATCAACAAAGGGGGCGGGTTTGCAGCAAGGAGAAACACACAACTGTCACACCGTAGCCTGGCCAGTCATGAAACTGGTTTTCAAAGCTTCTCTGATGCACAGCACGCCTAGTTGTGCTCTTCTAATCGCCCTGGTGTCTGGCTGCTCAAAATCGGCCGCCAGGCGATTTGCCTCAACCTGCCACCCCACCATAAATGCCTTCCCCCTTTCTCTCGCAGATATTATGAAGCACACAGCAAGCAGCAATAACAATGGGAATGTTGGTTGCGCTGAGGTCTAACCTAGTCAGCAAATAGTGCCAGCGAGCTTTTAAACGTTCAAAGGCACATTCTACCACCATTCTGCACTTGCTCAGCCGATAGTTGAACTGCTCCTTACTACTGTCCAGGCTGCCTGTGCACAGCTTCATGAGCTATGGGAGCAAGGGGTAGGCTGGGTCCCCAAGGATAACTATTGGCATTTCAACATCCCCAGTGGTAATTTTCTGGTCTGGGAAGTAAGTCCCTTCTTGCAACTTCTCAAACAGCCCAGAGTTCCTAAAGAGCTGAGCGTCATGCACCTTTCCCGGTCATCCCATGTTGACGTCGGTGAAACGTCCCTTGTGATCCACCAGTGCTTGCAGCACCACTGAGAAGTACCCCTTGCGGTTTACGTACTGGTTGGCAAGGTGGTCCAGTGCCAAGATAGGGATATGTGTTCCATCTATCACCCCACCACATTTAGGAAACCCCATTGCAGAAAAGCCATCCAGTATGACCTGCACATTTCCCAGAGTCAATACCCTTGATAGCAGAACATCAGTGATTGCATTGGTTACTTGGATCACAGCAGACCCCACAGTATACTTGCCCACTCCAAATTGATTCCTGACTGACCGGTAGCAGTCAGGCGTTGCAAGCTTCCACAGGGCTATCGCCACTCATTTCTCAACTGTCAGGGCAGCTCTCATCTTGGTATTCCTGCACTTCAGGATGGGAGAAAGCAACTCACAAAGTTCAAGGAAAGTGGCCTTACTCATGTGAAGTTTTTGCAGCCACTGTGAATCATCCCATATCTGCAACACTACGCAGCCCCACCAGTCTGTGCTTGTTTGCTAGGCCCAGAATCGGCGTTCCACTGTATCAACCAGTCCCACTGCTGCCATGATGTCCCAGTTGCCACAGCCTATGTTTTCAGGAATGTCTGTGTCCATGTCCTCATCACAATCGTCCTCGTGCTGGTGTCTCTTAGCCCGGTTCTGCACATACTCCAGGATAATGCGCAAGGTGTTTACAACGCTCACAACAGCAGCGGTGAGCTGAGCGGGCTCCGTGCTTGTTGTGGTATGGCGTCTGCATGGGTAACCCAGGAAAAAAGGCGTGAAACGATTATCTGCCGTTGCTTTCACGGAGGGAGGGAGGAAGGGGCAACTGACGACATGTACCCAAAACCACCCTCGACAATATTTTTGCCCCATCAAGCATTGGGAGTTTAACCCAGAATTCCAATGGGCAGTGGACATTGCAGGAACTGTGGGATAGCTACCATCAGTGCACCGCTCCGTAAGTTGATGCTAGCCACAGTA